TACCTGCCTACCCCCACGCCCCCGCCCCGCTCCCCTGCCCAGCTCTTTTAAGTCTAGTCCAAGTGAGAAATAAACAACTGGAGATGAAAATATCAGCTTTATCGATGATAAAGATGATTACAGAAAAAAGCATAGCTCTCTAACCTACACTGCAGCTCTTCTTTCCACTCCTTGCTCCCAACACACAGGGCAGAGTCTGCTCCAGTCACTGTACTTCAGTGATGAGCAGAGACCATGCTCTGAGGATAGGTTCCTAAGTAGGAGAGACACCAGAAAGGGACCAAGCCATGTACTTTATCTAGGGAAAGGGAGAGGAAGATGGGGCCCATAGCACAAAACTTCAGAAAGAGCAAAATGTTCCTGCTTTAGGAGCCAACATGGGCGGGAAACTAGGAGGGAAATGGAATGGTTCCTTCTAACACTAAGAAGACCGACTAAAGCAAAATATGTTTTTAATTATGAATTATGAAAAGTTCCTTCAAATCAAACATGTAAACAGTTTAACAGTTTAAATCATAACACTTATTCTAATGTAGCTTGTTGTCCCATAATTTATAGGTTTCTCCATCAACTAAAGGAAGATAATTCTGACTTAATTAATAGACTATGGACTGATATTCAGCAGAAAATAGCAACACAGTCACAAATAACAAGCCCTCCAGGAATTCCATCACCGGCCCCTTCATCACAGGAACAAAAAGGTTTGTTTTTTCATTGTATTACTTTTTCACAGAGTAGTAGCTTGCTTTATTATGTTCTTAAACACAGTAATTTTAAAAGCAATTTGAGTTATTTGAGTTTTGACTGTCTTAGCCTAATTGAGTAAAATACTGGTTGATCTGTCACTTGAAATGCTTTCAGCATTTTTCTTTCACTTGAGATACTTTTGGAAATATTCTTCCTTTTAGCTGCTCTGAATGCTACCAATGCTGTCAGGAGAGTCCGCACCAGGCTGCAACCTGAAGAATCTATCCAGTCTCTAGACTCGAACCATGTTGTGGGACAAGTGCTGAACTCAAGGAAGCAAAAACAACTGTCAAATAAAGGTTCAGTCTCTTAATTTACGAAGACAAATTATTAAACATGTAACTTGATACAGCTATCTTAATGTCTTAGTAAATTTTTTTCCCTTAAACTCATCCCGTTGGATCCAGCTAAGTAAGAATTTGTTTTATGGTAGTTAAGAAGCCCCCTTTTATTCCACGTAACTCTGTAGAAAGATGGTTCTAGAACATTCATTGTAGATAGTATAAACCTGGCTTAAACTATATAGATTTTTTTGTGAGAAAATGGTGATAACTTCTATAAAAACCTTTTATCAATTGTGGATGACAGTCAAAGATTTTTCTAGTAGTTTTCTAGTATAATTTTTCCTGATCTTAAAATAGAATGACTTCTGTCATTATCAGTGAAAAGAAAACCGGATTTGCATTCTCCTTCCAAGCAGAAGAATACCATGTTATCAGCTAGCACAGCCTCCACAGACTTATCGAATAGCAATAATCCCAGCCTGGATGTCCTCAAACACATGATACATGAAGTAGAACATGAAATGGAAGAATATGAACGGTGGACAGGACGTGAGGTCAAGGGACCACAGAGCAGTCAGGGTCTTACAGGCTTTACTCTGTCGCTGGTGAGCTCCCTCTGTCGCCTGGTTCGGTACCTTAAAGAGGTAAGAGCGTGAAGTTATTAAAATCACCTCTTCAGAGTGCTGGTGGAAATGTGTGGGTTTTTTTCCTCTATACTTACTTGGTTGCAACCTCTGAGTAAAATATGGTCAGATTTGAATAGTTTTGTTTAAAATAGCTCAGTTTTAGATGATCTGCAATAAAGGTTTATCCTCTCAATTTCTCTCTACATGCTGACTCATGTATCATCCAGCATGTTGATACATGCTCAGGTAAGTGATGTTAATTTTAATATGAGCCTTAGTAAAATATAATTAGGAAAGTAAATCAGCTATAAATAAAACATCTTGTGCTAATACTGAATATTACTGTTTAGCAGTAATATTCAGTATTAACTGAATATTAGCACAGTAATATTCAGTTATCACTCCAATCCAATTAATACTGTCTTTGTTTAGCAGTAATATTCAGTATTAACTGAATATTAGCACAGTAATATTCAGTTTAGCAGTAATATTCAGTATTATAGATTAAATAGAACTACTAAACGTCCTCATTCTACTGCTTTTCTCTGCTTCCTACTTCCACTTTAGTTCAATTTGAAGAGTAGCATTCCTATAATCTGTAGACAAAGACTGGAAAAATCCTTTGTGTTATCTGTATGACTGGTAACTTGGGTTTTGCTTAGTGTCTTAGTGGGAGATATTTTATTGTGAAAATAATTTAAAAGACAAGCAAGAATTGTTTCTTTAATTCATTTGAGAATCATAATCAGTCCTCAGAATGCTGTGGAATTAGAGTTAATTATGTAGTTCATCTTTTTAAAAAAATCTGTTTAGACTACTTTTTATGTATTTAAATTTAAACAAATATAAAAATGTGTGAGGAAATTTAATTATTAAAAAAGTTGGCTCACCACTCTAATTCAGATGTTTCAGTTTCTCTGGAATTATCTTCCTAAAATTGTTTTATAGTGAAAGATTTATTGTACTGTCAGACTTAAGAAAGTTTTAACATTCTTCCATGCTTAAGGCAAGAATGTCTAGGAGTGTACTTTTGGCTCTCTGAAAGTATTATAGGCTTAGAAGCAAGTACTTTTAAGCTAATTATTTGCTTTACAAAGCTCAACTATTTGAATCTGTTGTCATTTATTTTAAATTGTATTTTAACAGACTTAATTTTTGCATTGGTGATATATTCACATGCTACGAAATTCAAAGTTACAGAAGGGTATATGATGAAAAACCTGATTCCCACAGTGAATATCTATTTAACCTGTTTACTTCCTTGTAGACAGCTCTCCTTGCCAGATACCAGTGTATCCTTCTAGAGATGGTCTGTGCATTCAAGCAATATGTATTTCTACTTCCCTTTACTTCTACAGAAATTGTAGTTATTTAATTCTGTATAGCATTCTGTTTATTGCATTCTATTTAAAGAAAAGAAGAGGATAAAGCAGCACATTTTAATGAAACAAAACTTTTAATAAAAATATTTAGTTCTCATTACTGTCACATACTATATACTTTGTAAGTGTTCTCATATTTGACAACTTTGAGTAGAAACTTTTAGTTTTCAATATGTGATGCTATCGATGGGAGTTTATTTGATATTTTTTTTATAGAGTGAGCTCCAACTGCGTAAGGAAGTAGAGACAAGGCAGAAACTGGAACAAGTATTAGGTGATCATCGAGAGCTCATTGATGCTCTGACAGCTGAAATTCTGCTTCTTAGAGAGGAAAATACTGCTACCCAGGTACTCAGATGAGATCCCAAACTTTCTGTGTTTACTATAAAACATCTTTAAGAATGTGTGAGATTTCTTCTAATTGCCTTTGGTTTCCTTGTGCTGATGTGATTACTTATATTTCTTTATTATCATCAATGGTAGTTTTTATTGAACATTTATTATATTGGAGGTACTATAGTAGAAACTTGGACTATAAATAGTATATAGAGTAAGTCTACTGTCTTTAAGAAACGTATTAATTAGTGGGGAAGACAGAATCTACATTTAAATGATAACTACCAGTATTGTAGTAGGTTAGTCAAAATGTGAAATGAGTGTTATGATAGTTATTTTTAAATGATAACTACCAGTATTGTAGCAGTTTAGTCAAAATGTGAAATAAGTGTTAATGATAGCTACTTTTAATTTCAAGACAGTAGAGGATACCATTGGAGGAACCCTTCTGCAATCATATGCCATTTAAAGTTTATAGTAACTTCATATTTATATTCAAAGATAGGTCCTCTTTGCCCTTTGTCTGGCTAATTACTCCTTTTTTTTTTTTTTTGACATATACAGTATTTCTTATAGAAAACCTTATTGTCTCCGTGCTGCATTAAATATTCTTCCTTTGTGCACGTTTGATACTCCCTGGATGTTGCTCTCATCGTATTTACCAAATTGTGTTACACATACATCTGCACCTGTCTTCAAAATTATGAGCTGGTTGAGGACAGAGGCAGTTTTGTTTATCTTTTTGTTCTCGAATGGTAGTTATTACTACTTTTATTTATTAGCCAAAAGTGACTAGAAAAGCAATAGTATAGATAAATTGTGTTTGTGTCAATGGACAGTAGATATATATTATGTAATTTTTTAATTGATATATAGTTCACGTACTATTTAATTCACCCCTTGAAAGTGAACAGTCAGTGGTTTTTAGTATATTCACGGAGTTGTGTACCAGCACCATGATATAATTCCAGAACATTTTTATCACCCCCAAAAAGAAACCCAATACTCATTAGCAATCACTCTCCATTCTCTCCTTCTGCAGCCCCTGGCAACCACAGGTCTATGTTTCTATAGATTTGCCTAATCGAAATGTTTTGTATAAATAGAATCATGCAATATGTGGTCTTTTGTATCTGACTTCTTTCACTTAGCATAATGTTTTCAAGGTTCATCCATGTTGTAGCATGTATCAGCACTTCATTTCTTTTTATTGCCCAATATATTCCATTATATGGCTGTACCATATTTGCTTATGCTATAGTTGATAGATATTTGAATTTTTCTACTTCTTGTGTATTCTGAATGAATAGTACTGCTATGAACATTCATGTACAAGTATATCCATGAACATATATTTTCAATTCTCCTGGGAAAATGGGCAGTTTTAAAACATACTAATTAGTTCAGCAAATTTTTATCGAATAACTACTGTGGGTCTGGCACTGTTCTAGGTACAGGAAATACAGTAGTGAACAAAAAAGAAATCTTGGCCCTCATGGAGCTTATATGCTAAATAAATCTTAAAAAAAAAAAGAAAAAGTGAAGTATATTATAAATTAGATGGTGATGGTGATATGTGCTATAAAGAAAAATAAAGCAGCTAAGAGGCATAAGAGGCACCTCTGATGGGAAGTTGTAAATGGGATAGGCCATGCCTGTCTGAGGAGGTGACATTTGAGTGAAAGCCTGAGGGAGGTGAGGGGGCAAGTATGCAGATAGCTTAGAAGAGCAGTCTAGCAGAGGAACAGCAAATACAAAGGTCTTGAGGTAGGAGTGTGGCTGTTGGGATCAAAAAAATCAAGGAGACCAGTGTAGCAGGAGTGGAATGTTAGAAAAGGAGAGTAGTAGGACACAAGAGTAGATAAAGCAGATCACATGGGGTCTTGTAGCCTTGATAAGGACTTGGGCTGTTATGCTTTGTTCATTTGTGGCGATGCTGTGAGATGGGAGACCACTGAAGGGTTTTGAGTGGAGAAGAGATGTGATCTGATTTAGGTTTTAAGAGGATCACTTTGGGCTGGTGTGTTGAGATCAGAGATCACAGCCCTTTCTCAGTTTATGGTGCTCTTGGCGTCTCAAGACATCCCTGGACCAAAAGAAATACCCAATAGTTCCATTTATTAAGTAGCTAGGTTCAAACAACTTAACAAGTATTTGTGTCTTACCAACTTAGATACTGTTTGAAAAAAAATGATACATGTAAATTAATAGAAAAGTCATACTTTTTTAATGTCATACATTTTTAATGATTAAATAACAATGGAATGTGTATTTATGGAATATGTATACCTATTGGGCATTGTACAGGTTTTTAAAACTTGGAATCATATTGGACACCATTACTCTTATATCCTGTTCCACAATAATTTTATGCAGTTTTGCTTTTTGGCGTAGCAACTACCAAAAACTCAGCTTTGTGAAGCTGTGACGTCATCAAGAGGAATGTATCTCAATCTAATGTTGAATCTGTGAACTGCCTCAAGCTAGTAGTTCACTAGTGTCTGACAGATGTTAAGCATCAGTGTTTCCCTCAAAAATTTAAAATGTCCTGTGGTTACTGGGTATTTACCCCAAAGACTTGAAAACCCATATCCCAAAAGTTAATTGCACACAGATGTTCATAGCAGCATTATTCATAGTGGTCAGGACACAGGAGCAACTGAAGTGTCCTATGATAGGTGACTGGCTAAAGAAGCTGTGGTACAATGGAATATTACTCAGCCATAAGAAGAGATGAAATACTGCCATTTGTGACAATGTGGATAGACCTCGAGATAATCATGCTAAGCAAAATAAGCCAGACAGAAAAAGTTGAAAATCACATGATATCACTTATATGTGGGATATAAACCTAAAAGCAACAAATGAACAGGACAAACAAACAGCGACTCATGGACATGGACAATGGACTAGTGATTACCAGAGGGTAGGGGGTGGGGAAGGATGGGGTAGAGGGGGTCAAATATAGGGAGGTAGAGGGAGGGTGAAGTAGGTAAAGGGGATCAAATGTATGGTAGCTGAAGGAAACTGGACTTTGGGTGGTAAACACACAATAGAATATACAGATGTCAAATGATAACGTACACCTGAAAATTATATAATTGTATTAACCAATGTCACCTCAATAAACTTAATAAAAAATAATAATAAAATTAAAAATTAAAAAATAAAATGAGTTCACTCTGGTGCCCCCACCTAGTTTGGGAACAGTATGGGACTCTAGGTGGTTAAACACAGAAGCAGTTTATTGCAGATAGGAATTATTGGAAAAATTCAGATGAAACATGGCAACTTGGTCTAGGTTGGAAATGGAAGAGGTTGTGACCAAATTCTGAATATATTTTGAAGACATCCTATAGGATTTGTTTATGGGTTGGATATGGGGTAAAGGAGAATATGTGAGAGAAGCGTGAAGGGTGATTGCAAGGTTTTGGACTGAGCCGTCAGAAGGGTGCTATTGTCATTGATGGGGTGGAATTTTCAGGAGTAGTTTGGTTTTGTACATTTGAGAAGCCTATGTGAGTTCTAGATGGAGATGTTGGGTAGACCATTGGCTATATGAGTGTGGAATTTGGGAAAAATTTCTGTGTATATAATTTTTTTTCCTTAACATTATTTTATATATATTACCATAAATTTTTATAGTGCTCATGTTTATCACTTTAAATGCCTGTGTAATATTCTCTTGAGTTTCCTCTACCTGTTGTATCTGCCATTTGGGGTATTTTGAGAGTCAGTTGATATCTATATAAAGAGTTTTTGTAAGTCAGAAGTCCTATAAAAAGGTTAATTCTTATTGTTGTAGCAGTGTATTTATTAATTAACAATATTCTATGGTTTATTTAACAATTCCTCTATCATGAGACTTTAAAAATATTTATAATTATGTATTCTCATGAATGCATTGTTTTAGTATTTGAATGAAAGTCTGAAATTTCTAGAGTATTTAAAATAATGATATGGTTATACACAACTAGGTGCTGATTTGATGTTTGATATGCCAATGATATTATTTCATTCTTCTTTCTCTAGGCTAGACTTCAGCAGTACATGGTCACAACAGATGAGCAACTTATATCGCTCACACATGCCATTAAGAGCTGTCCTGTGATAAATAATAAAGAAAGTCTGGCATTAGAAAGGGGAACCATGAGTAGAAGAATTATGGACAATCCAGGTGAGTGGGTCTTATTATCCCAGCTTGACATTTTAAAAATACTTATGGAGTAAACAAATGAACAAAACTGTCAACTTAAATGGAGTTATTGGCTATTTATGCATATACGGCATGACACTACTACAGTTGCCATTGCTATTTACAGCCAATATTTGTTGGATACTTGCTCTATGCCAGATACGTTTTAAGTGTTTTACATGCATTATCTCATTTAATCTTCATAATAGTCTTATAAGGTAGGTGTTATTGTTATGCCCATTTTTTTAGATGAGAAAACTAAGTCTTAGTAAGAGTTGATAAATTAGCAAAATCACACAAATAGGAAGTAGCAGAACTAACTTCCTAGACCAGTGGGAGTTTAATTCCAGTACTTTCCATCACGATGCCCCAGGTTTAGGAGGAGAAAAGGTAGTCTTGGAAAGAAAAAAATATAGTGAGTTTTAGAAATTTATAACTTTTGTTTGTTTGTGGCAATGTTGTAAAAGCCTTTTTTCTCCTCATATGCCATCATATGCCATAGGCTGAATAAGACATTTAGGCTTTCTCATGTTTTTTTACTTCTAAGTAATACTTTGGCGAGCATCTCTGTGTGGAAAATTATGCATGTTGGGAGTGATTTTAAGAAGTGGCTAAATAAAATTTAACTTGCATAAGATAAATTCAATGGCTAGGGCAGGTCTTCAATGGCTAGGGGCCCTCTGTTTTTCTCAAAAACAGCTATTTCTTACTAGCACTGGCCCCTCAGGAGTCTTGTCTCTGAATTACTAGTAAAAGAGGATATGGCCTAAAAAGTGAAGGCTCTAGAAGTCACATGATTTTGCCCTCTATGGAGATGCATTTAAGTATAAATATCTGAAATGTGCCCATAGTTCCTTTAAGTATTAATAGCCTCTCATCTTCTTCAGAGGATCCAGTTGTAAATGCTGATGTATCCGTGCCATTGATGTTCCGAGGGGAAGACATGCTTGAATTCCCTCAGGAAGACTTGCCTGTTAAACTGTCTCAGGTGCCAAACCCCCCAGACAGTGCGAATCTAGCCAACAATTTTCCAGCACATGTATTTGAGCCAGCTGTGTTGTTAACACCACCCAGGCAGAAGAGCAACTCAGAATTCTCTCCTCTGCAGGATGGTGAGCAGGCTTCTTCTAAGTTATGTGGTAGTTGTTTTTGATATGTGTTGTCACTATTGTGTTCATTATTCCCTGATAAACAGAATTTAAAAAAGATATTGATAACCATATATAACCTTTAAGCTGAAGGAAGATTGGGTAGTTTATATCGTGCATGTTGTTCCTATGGTGAAATATGACATTGAATTTTATTACATATTTATTTCATTAGAAATTGTAAACATTAAGCTCAGATCAAGAGATCAAAGTCTTCAGCATTAAGACACGGAGTAAGGGGAATCCCATTTGTCCCTATGGTCCAGGAGCCTAGGAAAGAGTAAGAAACGAGTAGAGATTATTCTCCAAAGAGTAATGAAATTTTAACCAAGGAAAGGAGAGAACTGAAAGTCAGATCTGGCGATTAACCTCTTTCTCATCAAAACTTTTTAGCTCAGTCAGTTGAAGGAAATTTATAATGAAAGTCTATGGACAATTAAAAATAGCTTTAGAGTCACTTTTGAAGCACATATTATGAGTTTTGAATAAAATGTTAAAAATAATTATTGTTAATACTTAGCTCGGAAATTCTTAGAGTTTATAGGTGGTTTTCACAAGTTCCGTGGACTACTTTATTGTTTGGAAAATTATATTCATTTGTCCACATGTGCATTTTTCTGGAGCTATAGCTTTCATTTCATTTTCAAAAGAGTTCTTCAATCAAAAAACGACTACAGCTCTCCTCAAAAGTTTTTAGAAAAATACTAGTTAGCCCTAATTTCTCTCAATTTTTACTTCTTTAAAAATAGTATTTATCTTCTTATATAGGGGGACAGAAGAACTTTTGCTATTGAGATATACAAATTTGTCAAATTTTCTGTACTTTTATGTGTGTTTTCAATAGAGAACATGAAGAGGCCATCAGGGATTGAGGAAAATGACAAATCTTTGCTATTATAAAAATTGTTTTGGCATTTGTAATGCAAAGGTAGAGTCTGTCAGATCTGCGTGGTGTATGGAGACAGTGCTAGGCTGAGTGTGAGAGTCCTGGTCTCCCCATCCAATGACTAGATGGGAGGCATGGGGCTAAGATACTTACCTTTTCTGGACTTCAGTTTTCCTTTATTTTTAATGCCCCTCCAGCTCTATAATTTTGTGATTCAGTATTTCCTCTTTAGAAGACTAGAAAGTATTATTAACTCTGGTGATTTAGGAAATACGATATCAAATCTGGTTTCTGTTCAGGTTAGAATTTCATTTCTTAAAGTAATTTTTCAAATATTTGCATGTTATTATCTAATCTCTTGAGATACTGTAAATTGTTTTTAATTGGTGATACTAAAATAGCTTAACATTATTTTAAAGAAACAATTACTATAAATATTTTTACTCTGATTACAAATATACTAAATGTTCATTAAAGCAAATTATGTTGCTATAGACAACATTTTTTTAGTATTTTCAGAGGGTTTTGCACGGAAAATGACATGGCACATTTCTTGCATAGAGTGCAGACAGAACTACCTTCGAATATGTATTCTGAATTGATAAAGTTTTATTATTACATTTTTCAGGATTTTGTTTAGAATGCTCGCATGTAAAGACTTATTCAGTTAAATCGAACATGTAAATAAAGATGGAAGATACTTCATGAACGTTCAGTTATACTCTAGACAGCTCTGTCTAGTAGAACTTTCTGTGATGATGAAAATGTTCTATGTCTGTTCCATTCACTGCGGTGGCTACCTACTAGCCTCATGGGGCTACTGAGCCCCTGAAATGTGACTAGTGAGAATGAGGAACTGAATTTTAAAATTTATTTAATTTTAGTTGATTTAAGTTTGAATATGAATAGCCACATGTAGCCAGAGGCTACCACATATTCTTAAATTTCCATCATGAATATTTTCCTTTAGCTACTAATTCATTTCTACTTTCCTTAATAGCCACACTTCCTGAAAGAGTAATATATTATATATAATCTCCTGTTTTCATTTTCTTATATCCCATTTATTCTTTATTTTAAAGTGTTAATTCTAATTCCTATTTCCATGTGGTTAACGAGAAAAAAAGCACATGCAAGAGTTTCTTTCTTCCTCACTATAGGCCTACATCAAGAGGCAATCATTTTTATCTCAAACTGAATTCTGTTTATCTGGAGGTAGTCTCCATAATTAATATAAAATATTTATACATCTCTTTTAGAAATATCAACTTTACACAATTATTATAGACTCTTCCTTATTAAATAAGAGGGTTTCATTTCAATTAACACCTACTTCCCTTTTCTATCTAATTTGGGTAATTATATTTTTATTTTTAATTCATCTAATGCCTAACTTTGTGACTTTAAATACTTTCTATTTCTTTTTCATTAACTTCAGGGTGTATTTCTTGGCTTTCCACTATGTAAGATGAGAATACTAGCTCCCTTCCCTTCCTTCTACATCTCCTGTGTTTCCACCTCCCACCACAAGTCAACTCTGCCTTTTCTGTTACAGTAGCAAGTTTAATAACATTTACATTGTGCCATTACTATAATTATCTCTTCTGGGTCTTATCTATAGATGGATACTGAAAGTTGAGAACAAATAACAATCACCTTTTCTTTTTCGATCTGTTGTTATTGTTAATCTTGTGCCAACAGAAAGGAAAGCATTCTTAGAATGAAGATCAAGGTGAATTCTTTGTTCACTTAATTAGTTAAAGTTGTTCAGAATCTTTGTCCTATATTTATACTGTGACTTTTTTGTTCAATTTTTGTTTTGCCTGGAGTTTCAGACTGCTTTTACTCTCTTGTTTACAAAAGAATGTGCTTTTTTAAAAAGAAGATATATATATAATGATTTAACTAGAGCAGCTCGACGAAGAGAACTAAAGCCGAATAACCCGAAACCAGACGAGCTACCTAAGAGCAGCAAAAGAGCGAATTACATAAAGATTCCATCTGGAAACATTTTCTTAATAAAAATCAGAAAAGTATTTGAAATATATATACATATATATTTTTAAATGTAGGTCATTTTTTCTAATTGAAAAAAAAGTAGAATATCTTTACTTGAATAAGTAAAATCATTTTAATCATTTTATATATATTTACATATGTATGTATATTTAATTCAATTTATTTAAACTAAAAACAAAACAATAACAGTTCACTCATTTCTCCAATATTTCCCCACCTGCACCCCCGGCAACCACCAATCAGTTCTCTGTATCTATGAGCTTGGTTGGTTTACGAATATAAATATATCTATAACTATCCATATAGATATAGATATATTTAGGTTCCACATATAAGAGATATATACCGTATTTCTCCATCTGACTTATTTCACTTTGAAGTAATACCCTCAAGGTCCATCTATGATGTCACAAAAGGCATGATTTCATTCTTTCATGGCTGAATATTACTCCATTGTATAAATGTACCACAGTTTCTTTATCCATTCATCTATCGTGGGACGCTTTGGTTGCTTCCATGTCCTGGCCGCTGTGAATAATGCTGCTCTGACATCGATGTGCAAATATCTTTTTGGATATGAGTTTTCAAGTCTTTGGGGTAAATACCCAGTAGAGGGATTGCTGGATCATATGGTAGATCAATTCTTAGTTTTTTGAGTAGGTGTTTTTAAATCCTGGAACAGCTGCAATAGAGAGGATGGAGGAAATATATTCGGGACTGTTGGTTTCTGCTCAATTTCATACTTTTACACACTTCCCATATATTCTCAGTCTTCTAGAAATGTATGTTTTTAAATCCAGGAACAGCTGCAATAGAGAGGACGGAGGAAATATATTCAGGACTGTGGTTTCTGCTCAATTTCATACTTTTCACACTTCCCATCTACTCTCAGTCTTCTAGAAATGTGTTGAAATATCTAATTTGCTAATGCATCTCCCCAGACCATTATTTTTACTGATGTGGTTTATATTTACTTTTATATTTCCTTGCTATCAGTGAAAGGAGGTAAGCTAAAGTTGTACTCTATAATCTTGAACTTGAGGCATCTGTCCTTCCAGTTTACTCCTAATTAAGTCATTCTACCTAAACTACTCTTGCTAAAGGTTTTGGTGGCCTCTGTGTTACTAAGTCCAGTGAGCACTTTTCTGTCCTTATGTTTCTAGGTCTTAGCAGTAGTATTATACACAGTTAACCACTCCCTCTTTGTTTCCTTGATACCACATTCTTGTAATATTTCTCTTATCTTTCTGGCTGCTTCCTTTCTATCTGCTTTGCTCGCTTCCCCTCCTTTACCTGACTGTAAATGTTAAATTCTTCATGTCTTGGTACTGTTTCTTTTCTCATTCTATTCTTTCTCTCTAGATAATCTCACTCATTCTCATGGCTTCCAATACTTTCTATACTCCAGTGACTTACAGTTTTGGATCTTAGTTTTAGATATCTCTCTTGAGTTTTGATCCATGTATCCATTTGCTTGGGTGGATATATGAGTGATCCACAAGGCACCTTAAACTTAGCATGTTCAAAACTGAATTCTTGATAACCTCCCTTCCCCCAAATCTGTTCTTATCTTCTCCATCTCAGTAAATGGCATCACCATCACTTCAATTGTGCATGGATCCGTGTGTTTCACCCCCCACTTCTAGTTCATCACTTCAGTTCTATTGCCAAAATCTTTCTCAAGTTTGTCTACTTTTCTCCATCTTTCTAGCCAACATACCTTAGTCAAAGCTACCATATCTTTCCTCTAGATTACCAAAGTTGCTTTCTGGTCTCTTCCATTCCTGCACCTCTTAACTATCCATAACATTTAAGAAATGTAAATTGAGTCATTGCCAAAATTTCTCCAGGTTTTATTGTTCTTGAATTAAATTAGAAAATTCCTAACATGGCTTAAAAACCTCTGCAATAAATAGCCCTCACACGCCTCTCCAATCTCATATTTTTCCAGTTCTCCCCTCGTTGCTATGCTGCAGCTACCCTGGCCTTTTTTCTTTGCTTTCTCCTATTTTTATGCCTTCATATATGTCATTCTCTCTGCCTGTAATGTTCTTTGCTCTACTTTTTGCCACATATGTAATCACTTAAAATTTTTACTTCTTCAGAGATGCCTTTTCTGATCATCTTCAGTTAATATAATTATCTATACTGTCTCCACCCCCAGGCTGCCCAGATGTTAATTAATATACATATTAAAATGTGAACTTGGCAGGCAGTTTCACAAGGATACTGATAAAGCTTTAAGGAATATCAAAGTCTCCAAACTTGATTGTTAGAGGTAGCATTGTGAGTATATTCCCCGCTAAAATAATTCAGATATTTGGAAGCCAAATCCTTCTAAAGAAATAGTGAAATACTTCTTTAACTACCATGATGATTGTAGTACAATCTATGGCTAAATAATAATACATGTTTGTTATTTTTAAATTTTATCTACAGTATTGAGGAGGACTGTTCAAACTCGTCCTGCTCCACGAATTCCTCCAACAGTGGAAATAATTGAGAAGGAACAAAATTGGGAAGAGAAGACCTTACCTATAAGCACAGATATTCAGAATTCAAGTGAGGAGAGTCATCTCTTCACTCAGAGGTGGAGGGTCTCTCATATGGGAGAAGATCTGGAGAACAAGACCCAGGCGCCTTTCGTTGGCTTCTCACAGCCCCTGTGCAATTCCCACTCAGACACTCAGCAGACAAGAAACCCCACATTCTCAGAAGGGCCCTCAGTTTTGGGAGATGGACAACAGCTTAGGACAAATGAAGCTTTAATACAAAGAAAGGACATCATGGCACGAATCGCTGAGTTGACACTGCAGAATTCAGCTATCAAGGCACATCTGAATAATATTATTGGGCCAGGAGGAGAGCAAGGGGATGGACTTCGGGAGTTAAACAAACAGGAGACAAGTCGTACAAGTGACATGACTGCTGTGAGTACCAGTTAAAGATTGACTAGGGACATATAGGAACTTAAGTACTTTGCTGGAACATCTTAAGAGACTTCTTTCCAGGAGTTATCCTGGATATCTTTGAGGCTGCTACTAGATGGCTTATGTTTTGTCATGTCCTCATTACAAAATAAGTGGAAGTTATTTGTCAGTTTATAGCGTGCATACAATAAAAGAAAAAAGCGTAAAATAAAAAATCAGAAATGGATGAGGAAAAGAAGACAAAGGTAAAATGTATAGGAAAGCTAAAATTAAGCTAGGAATGAAGTTTATAACCCGCATCCTCATGCTGTTCCCAGTGATGGGCGAGACTTGCTTTTACTTCTTTATAAGCCACAGTAGATCCTGTCAAGGTTCTGATAGGGGACAGAACAGGGTTTTAGCAGTTGGAAGGACCTGGCAGCATCGTGGATCAGAGTTTCCAGGAGTGATTGTTTCCATAAAGGCTTTACTGATGGTGGACCGAGGGCTTCCATGAGGAAGGCTAGGAGATGAGGGATAGTAAGGTTAGAGGATAAGGGCCACATCTGTCAGCACTGGCTCATGGGGAATAAGGGCAATATGGGTACTGAGTAACAGAAATAGTAGTCAGAAGGGACTGGCTGAAGAGGAGCCTGGAAGGAGTATTAGGAGTGGGCAGTATCCATCAGTACAGATGTATCTAAGTATGAATTGCCTTAGTTTTGAGTCACTGGAAACATTTCTATGTTTGTAGCATTTTGAAGATTATTGAAACAGATAACTCTTTAGTTTAAAAAAGATAACAGAGTTAACAATTGAGCTTGCCTCTTTTTCTAACTAGTATATAGATCAGGCCGAGATGACAGTCTAATATTACCGCCTTTTTTATTATTATTAGAATTATAAAATGATCTTTAATTAATACTGTTTTGCTTATCTCTTTTTAAACTAATGAGCATAAGCTTTGAATTGCTGATTTCTATTAAGGATTGTTTTTTTCCCAAAGGGATATATTTAGCTAAATGAAATAATTCAGAACCACACATATATTTCTTTAAGGAATTTTCAAATTTAACTTATATTCCTTCAGTGGCTATTTTTTTTTAACCTCTTATATTCCTTTATAGTCACTAACTGTCCTGAATCAGATACTTTAGGCCAAACATGTCCTAGGGAGGCTGACATACAGTCAGAAGGAGTGATAAGGTTCCTAGAAACCTTTGCCAAATAATTCATGGTGCATGTATGAAGATTATAATTATAGAAGCATCTCTTTCAACTGCAGCAGATTCTCCTTTGTGTATTGTGATTCATACTCCAGATCTGGCATTAATATGTGTGTTACTTAAAAGCCAGGTCACTAGAAATAGTGTCTTTGCTTGTGTGATCTTTTGTGCAGTTCAGTAAACACTAAGATGTGGGAAAGCTTCATCTCACAGTCACTCTCTGTGGACAGAGGGACTGGAAGACTTACGTGGCACCAATATTAGAAAGATTAGTATCCCTTTACTTTAAGCCCTAATTTTTCAGTTAAGTGACTTGTAAATTCAATTTTTCATCCACTATTCAAGTTTGCAAATAGCAAGGGCTATGAATACTTAACTTGTTGGCTTTTAGTAGAAAAGTTTATTTTTACAAAAAGTCAGAAATTTTTGGATTATTTTTAATATGGAATTTGTGCCTTTTTTTTTTTTTAAGAATTTTCCAGCAGCACAACCCCTAACACCAAGTAGTATGGAGGAACGGATTGCAGAATTGAACCGGCAGAGTATGGAGGCTCGTGGAAAACTCTTGCAGTTAATAGAGCAGCAGAAACTTATTGGTTTGAATCCTTCTTCTCCACCAGTATCACCTATTCAGTCACCTCTCAGAGCTTGGACTGGTTGGTCACAAATTCATGATTTAAAAAGTAGACAGTTTAAAAGCTAGAAAGTTTTTATATGAGAGCATATAATTCAGTGCCTTTAGTTTTACACAGAAAGAAACAGACTAAATTACTGAATCAGTATATAGAGATAAGATTAGAAGGCCAGTCTTCTCCACCAGTATCACCTATTCAGTCACCTCTCAGAGCTTGGACTGGTTGGTCACAAATTCATGATTTAAAAAGTAGACAGTTTAAAAGCTAGAAAGTTTTTATATGAGAGCATATAATTCAGTGCCTTTAATTTTACACAGAAAGAAACAGACTAAATTACAGAATCAGTATATAGAGATAAGACTAGAAGGCCAGTCTCCTGTTAGAAAGCTTTCTTGTGATGCGTGCTGTAGTCTTCGGTGTCCGCATTTCTAAGTTGCCGTACATGGAAATGAAACTCATTACAGTATATGATTCACTTAGAACATATGCTGCAACTAATTATAAAATATAAGCTTTAGAATGAGAATTTAGAATTTCATCAGCAACAAATTACAAATTATTATTCTGTTAAAATCATTTAAAACATTTTTATTTGTAAATTAAACTTTTGTTGTTACATTTAGGACTGAAAAGCTAGAGGGGATTCTAAATAATAGAACAGTAACCGGAAAATTAGTTGTCATAGTATTCACATTCAAAAGGTACTGATGAGACAAAGGTGATCTCAAGTTGTGCTTTAGCTAAAATTTGAATTATTAAGATCCTTAAGGGGTAGAGCTACAGAGACTGATTGTGGCTCCATCTAAGAGTTTTCTAGTGGCCCAGAATAGAAAAAGCTCTGTATCAGGAAGTGGTGTATTCCAAGTGTTTAAGAATCTTGGTGTTTCAGAAAGATTCATATGTCCTTTGGCTGATCGAAGTGGGTTACCTTTAAGATATCTGCCAATAAGATGTTTTCTCTCAGAACTTATTTCCTTTTTGAAACAACAGACTGAGAAAGCAGACTCTTTTGGAAATTACTAGAGATGACAGATAATGCATTTCCCCAAAAATAAAAGAGGACATGTTTATTCTAGACTTCTTCAAATGAGAACTTTGTCTGCTGTTCTTCAGTCATGAAGTCTAGAGGCAACTTCTGATTAGAATGAGTAACTTAAATCACTCAATATGTATGATCACCTACTACGTGCCTGCCATGTTCTGGAGACTGGTGATACTGCATCAAATAAGACAAGTCCCTGCTCAGCTTGACTACTTTAGTATCCAGATTGGGGAGCAGGCAATAAAGAAATAATCAAATAAATGTATGGGATAATGTCAGTTATTGCTCAGTACAATGGAGAAAAATATAGCAGATCACGCTTAAGAATAATTTTTTAATTAAATGAGACATCTTCTGTTTCAGTAGTTCTTTAAGGAAAAAATACTTTTATTTCTGTTATTTCATTTAGTCCTCAACGCACCTTAGGAATAGACAGAACCGATATTAAAGCTGTTTGATAAATAAACTGATGTGCATGTAGGTTATATGATTTGTCTGAAGTTCTAAAGCAAATTGGTAAATTTGTAACTGTTCTTGCCACTCTTTTCTTAAGTAAAATTCTTGGTTTTACAGGAAACTCTGTGGGCTGTAATGCTAAAGATAAAAGTAAATCATATGCCATGCAGAAACTCTTTTATTTTCTAGGGAACCAAGGTATATGTTATAAAATTAAATAGGGTGTCACTACCCCCTAAAGCCCAGAAATCACTAATTTAAAGCAGTGATTCATGGGAGCCTCTGTGAAACTGTCTGGGATAGACATAAAGCCTTTCATGCATAGATACTTAGTAAATATTTGTTGATTGATAACCTACTTCTGAAAATTGAAAATGTACATAATTCTACTTGCCATTGGCCGTATGAGCTCTTCAGCTAACTTTCCCTTCCTATTTAATGTCTTCAGTAACAGTAATAATGTGATAGACTAAGAAGACTTAAAGTTTTACTTCAGAAATTTTCTTTCTTTTTCCTTCTTTTGGGAAAACTTTAGATAAGCTGTTTTTGACAAAAATTTCAAGTTCTTTAGGGCTAGCTCTTAATTTCTGTTTTTCACTTCCAGATCTGACATGATACTACTTGTCTGAAGATTCTGGCTCTCTATGAACGGGCATGCTACTGAATTGACACTAGTAACTAATGTTTCTTGTCTCACAGTTCATTTGTTAAAAAATCCTTCAAGTGTTATCTGTGGGCCATAATGATGAAATATAGAAAGAACCCCCAAATTTATAATGTAAAATTTGCAGTAAGATAGAAATCAAGTTAAAATTTTTAATTTTTATTTTAATGAAAGGTAATGAAACTAATATTTATTTTTATATTTTAGAAGGAGGAAAGAGAACAATTGAGGTATCTATTCCAGGAGTAGAAGCCTCAGAAAGCTCAAAATGCAGTACTATCTCTCCTACCAGTGGGATAAATACAAGAAGGTAGGGTTGCAATGTGAATAGTTACTTAAAAAAAATCAGGAATGTGGTATGTGTTTTATTCCCTTTGTGAAAAAAGAAAGTGCATAATATCTGACTTAGGTTTGGACAGACTCACCCATGTAGAGAAAATAAAGTAATGGGAGAGGAGAAATTTGGAGGAAAAAGAAGAGGCACGAGGAACAAGCCTTCATTAAGTAGAAAAGCATGGGTTGGCTAAGGAAAACAAAAATCAGTTAATAGCACAAATATAGAATGATTTATGGATTACAAAATTAGGGTGGGTAAATTGACCAGTAATATTTTCCTTCTTTACAATAATGAAACTGAAGCTCATTGAACTACTTGTGTGATTTGCCTTGATATATAGGGTCACGTGTTGGTAAATTCTGACGCTAAAGATGTCCTCGGCTTTCTGTCTCCACTCTACATGGCTCCTATTGCACTGCGCTGCTCCAATTCTTGTTACTCTCTTCCATTACCTCAGCCTTTTTCCCCTGCACATGTTAATGTTAAAAACTTATCAGTGTTCTACTGTAATGGTAGATACATGTCATACATTTGTCAAAACCAATAGAGTGTATAACACAATGCATGAACTCTAATGTAGACTATGGATTTAGTTAATAATAATAATGTAGCAATATTATCAATTATAATAAATGTGCCACACTGATACAAGGTGTTAATAATAGAGGAAACTGGGGAGGGAGGAGAGGTTGAGAATATATTGGAACTCTTTGTACTTTACACTCAGTCCTTCTGTAAATCTAAAACTACTCTAAAAAAACAAAGTCTATTAATTAAAAAAAAGACTTAGGTTGGTAAAAATATGTTACAAATATTTGATCTCATTTGGACCTAAGTCAGCCATTTCTTTTCAAGCTCTTGCCAGTATTGAGAATTGTCAGTCTTAATAATTTTTGAAGATTACTAATGATAGATTACTCTCTCACTCTTTCACTCTCTTTTATTTGTCACAAATAGATCTTCAGGGGCTACTAGTAATTCTTGTTCTCCATTAAATGCCACCTCGGGAAGTGGACGATTCACACCTGTTAATCCAAGAGCAAAGGTATGTGATCAAATATTATGTGTAAAGGGGCAGGAGGGTGAGGATGGATGTTTAGTGATTTCCATTCTTTATTATTCCTGTTATCCTAAAGATGATAGAAAATTCTCACAAGAAAAATATTAATTCAACTTTGTTAGAAAAACAAATTACACTTCTTTTGTTTTCTAGGATAACTAAGGAATAAGATAAACTTCAGTAGGATTCCAACAGCTGTTAAAGACTGGAAATTACTGGTTTTAGACAGAGCTTCCCAAGTAGTATGGCAGGACATCTCAGGTGTGCCTTGAATAGGCTGTAGGTATACTGAGATATTGGTTCCCTTAGTCCTTGCTGTGGCTGGGTGGAGCTTGGGATAGCTGGAGCCTTGGGGCCAGTCACTTTCTGTGTCACTTACCCCGGTGTCTCATATCTGATTAGAGTAGTTATGGCACAAGGGATAAATGTCTTACATAGTCTTCATGCGTTCTGATTTGCTATAGGAATGTATGAAAACTAAGCATCTTACAATATATCCACAATTTTTGCCAAAAACATTTTTCTTTGTTGGTAATATAACAAAATATAGTTCCTCTAAGTGTTTAGTCAAAGCAAAACTTGAGGATATCTTTAAAATCATAAACATTATACTTGCAAACTTGAGCTAACAACTGTCTGATATGGGGAGAATTTTCTTTGCTCTTCTTGCCATTAACTTTAGTAATTAGACCAAATAGTGAGTGTTTTATTAACAATTGAGTTTTTACAGCCCAAATTAATTGGTAGGCTCAAATATCCTAGTTGTCCAGGACTAGAAGATTTGTCCCTTGCTGTTAATTATATTCTAAAAAAGCTTTAAAGTAAACTATTTTATCTAATTTGCCCTTAGTTTCTGGAATTTAGTAACAAATTTAATTTACAAGCCCAACTAATTCTTTTTGTTATTTTTAAAAGTTGTACCTATGATTTGTATAAAGCACTGGATTTACCCTTTTTAAAAAAATTAGGTCTCCTAAATCAATAAAGATACCTGTTGCTCAAGGATTCAGTTATTTTGGAGTGTCTCTGTTAGAGAATAAATATTGCCAGTAGCGATTTTATTTTCAGGGTCATTCAGTGGCACAGGATAACTTTGGTTCTATGTGCTTGGTCTAAATAATTGTAAATCTTGAATGGTCTTATGTTTCTGATTACTTTCTATATCTTTTTTGCATCTTTGTTCAACAGATTGAGAAACAGAATGAAGAAGGATGGTTTGCTCTTTCTACACATGTGTCATAAGTGAAGTTGAGTTTTAGTTTGTTCTCAGTAATATACTCTAGAGCTCACTCTCCTGTCCCTGCTCCTCCTTTCAAGTATTTAATGTCCTTCTTTCAGATAAAACCTACAAAGATCTTGTGACTTAGTACTAATAGAACAAAGAAATAAAGCAGTTATTTTATTTTTGACCTTTTAAAATAGAGTTCCAACTAACAAACAACCTACAGTCTCTTTGTGAATAAAATTTTGACTCTAGGGAAATTAAAGTTTTAGATTCTAATAATTTCATATGTATTTTAAGGTTTTCCGAGTAGTACATTATTTTATCATCTTTATTTAGTTTTTAAAAAATCTAGTGTATCTTAAATGTCGATCTATTTATTTTTATTTTATTTCTTTCTGAAGAACTAAGTTGCTTTGCATGTGACTTGAAATAAAAAGCCTCTGTGTGATTAAAGTTTGGTTTTCAGAAAAATTTAACACTTCCTTTGTTTTTTTATTTTGGGGCAAGTCACTGTAGTCTACTACTTTTTCCATCAACTAGAATGTCCAGCTTTAAAAAGTAGGCATGGGGTTACTTGTTTATATTTGCCTCAGGAAGTAAGAGTGGTTGTATATATTGTAAAATTGTTATGCAGTCTTTAGATGTGAAAATGTCATCAATAGTGGTAATGTACATCAAATAAATAATGATCGTAGAGTTCGGATGTCTAAATGCAGTAACAATGATTTGTTGGTGTATTTAGAGTTCGAAACAGAATTGAATACCAAAATTTGCTATCAATTTTCCTAGCCCAGAATCTACTAAGCATTCGGGGTAAGTTTTTCTTCAAGGTACCTGTTTGTCTCTCAGACATTGGTTTCTATTTTAAACTTACTTTTTGAATTATCTCTGCCCCTCAGCTCTGTGACAGGAATTCTTAACCTAAGTGAGGTGGGAGTGGGGTGGGGAAAGCACATTGAAGCTCTGTACTTGGAAAGCTTTCTCAGACAACACCCTCCCTCCTCTTGAATTTGTAAGTCACTGTTCTAGAAGTGTCATTCGCAGTTTTTATTTGAGCCTCTTCATTGTTGTGGTGGCAAAAAATAATATTTCTTCTGGTATTACTGATTTTATTTATGTGAAGTCATCTGTATTCATCTGCATTATTGCAGATTCTTCCATTTGTATTGCGTATTTTGAAACTTGGTATTTAATAAATAACGGTCCCTGTCTGGGATATAAACCATTTTGGTGTTATCCCCTATCCTATATTATTGGAAAGTTAGATTATCTGCTTGGTTTGTGAATATTCTTTTGACATGCGTTTTCTTTAATATTTTCCAGCTGGTTGGCTCTTTATTTTTTAAATCTAATATTTTTTAAACCCCCAAAGCCACAATTTTCAACTTTGGGAGCATTTAAAAAGTGGCACACTGACTATGGGGTGTGGGTGAGCCCTTGACATGGTATTTTAAAAAGCAAGGGAGGGAGCAATTGGGGGAATCATTTTATTAACTATATAGATGTCTAACTAATGTACTGTATACTTGAAACTAACTTAAATAAATAAATTTTAAAAAATAGGGGTTCCTTAGAGAGCCCCCTCAGTTCATCCCTACTTAAATGAAGTAATAAACACAAAGCAAAACTGGGGCTGGGCGGGGTGGGGGAAGTCGCTCAAAGTGATTTAATGTGCAGCCAGAGTTGAGAACCATTGTCAAAAACTTTTACCACTAGCTCACTGGCAACCTGTGGGACTGACGTTTAAGTACTCATCCTGTTCATGTTTGTTTTTGCTGATAAAGTCCAAAAATAGATTGAAAAACTCCAAGAGTACTAGATGTAGAGAAAAGAGCCTTTTCTAGGTCTTCTAAACCAATGCTTCTCAACTTTGACTGCCATTAGAGTCATCTGGGGACCTTCTAAAATTCCTAATGCCCAAGTCTCACTCCATACCAATTAAATTAGAATCTCTGGGGGCAGGACACAAACCTCAGTATTTTAAAAAAATCTCCTAAGATGATTCTGGCGTACAGCCAAGCCTGGGAAAAATCATTACAAAGATTACTTATCATCCCCAAATCATATATTGATGCATGTTTGGTTTTGGTTAACAGTTAAACTACTTAAAAGCCCTCTTTATCAGCTTTCAGAGCCAACTGCATCAGTGGGTCTTAAAGTATGAACCCCAACCAGCAGCATCAGCATCACCTGGGGTACTTGTTAGAAATCAAAATTCTTGGGCCCTTCCCAGATCTATTGATCAGAAATCTGGTGTCTGTTTTAATATGGCCTTCATGTAATTCTGATGCAGGCTCAAGTTTGGGAAACATTGATCTCTACCATTGAGGAGAGGTGAATCTCTGCTATATTTGACTGTGATGTACTGCAGCACTTTGTACTTTCTTTTAAGAGTCCAAACTCAGATTACTTGTGTTTCTTGTGTCTAGACTCAAGTTTTTGGATAACATATAACTTCACCAGTATGCCCCAGAAAACTGCTAATCACTTGCTAAACTTTAATAGAATTCATAGTTCTCCAAATTGCAGCATGGGAGAGAAACTAGATCAATAATTAAATCCACAGTTGTGATATAATCATTCTCACTCTGTATAGTGAAATCATTTGGGTTAGGAGAATTTAACAATAATTTACTGTTTACTAAGTGCCAGGCACTGTTATAGCCCCTTTACATGACTTCATGACACCTTTATGAGGATAAGTACTGTTATTCTTATTTTGCAGATGAAGAAACTGAGGTACAAGGAGGTAAGGATTCTTTCAAGGTCACACAACTAGGGAGTGGTGACACTACAATGGGAACATAGTCAGTCTTTCTCCAAAGCCTATGCTGTGCTGCCACCTTGCAGTGTGTGTGGTATGGAAGCACCATTAATAATAATAGCTATCTTTTATTGAGCCATTACTGTGGCAGGCACTGTGTCAAACTGCAGTGTCCCTATTATCTCATATTTCACAGTAAACCTATGAGTTAGATGTTAAATGCCACCTACCCACCTTTATAGAGAAGAAAATTGAGCCCTAGAGGTGAAGTAAGTTGCCAATGTCATAGTACTTGTAAGAACTAAAGCCAGGGCTCGAAGCTCTTTTTTAAAATAATCATTGGGCTTCTAATTTATAAGAAAGAACTAATATAGAAATAACTAATACAGCATAATGGCTAAGGGTGCAAGTATTGGAATCAGAAAGATCGGATTCAAATGCCACCTCTGCCCTTTGGGCTGTATCCCTTGGGCAAATTAATCTTATCTTTTCCACTTGAAAGTCAGAGATAATAATAATATCTTTCTCACAGGGTTATGAGGATTAAGTGAGGTAAATATATGTAAATAAATATGCTAAGAACAGGATCTGACTCAATAAACATTCAGGAATGGTGACTGCCAATTTTTTGGTGTATAAATAAAACTATTTCTTCTGTATTTCCAGATTTTAAGACATTCTGTAGTGAATTTATTGTGTTTTTGCCAGGTTAACAATTGGACCCAGTGTTTTAAATTTCAAGGTATTTCACCCGAAAAGATATTGGAGGTTGAAAGAAAATATATTGGGCATATTATCTGAAAATGTAATTAATGTGCTATTTAAAAGTAAGTTTATTCTATGTTTTCTGACTTTTTAGACACCCTGGATATACCATTTAATAGTAGCAAGGATAATGGTCTTTTTTTTTTTTTTTTAATCCTGGACAATGCTTGCCTAAAGAGAACAATATTACTAACCAATGCATGGTATAAAGTTTTGGGGAAGTTGTCATGTGACATTATGGAAACCAATAAACACAAAATACAATACAGCTATTCTGTCTTTATTGAGAAATAATTTATAAACAATAAACTACCTCTGTTTAAAGAGAACAATTCATTGACTTTTGGCGGTTGTAAATACAGAGTACCACTACAATTAAGACACATTTCTGTGTCTCCAAAAGATTTCTCCTGTCTCTTTGCAGTGTGTTCCTCCCTTTGCTCTAGCCCTAGGCAGCCACTAATCCGCTTTTTGTCATAGATTTATTTTCATTTTATATACATGGAATCATATATCACATACTATTTTGTGTCTACTTTTGCCATAATTGAGATTCATCCATGTTATATCAGTTTCTTCCTTTTTACTTCTCAATAGTATTCATTGTATAGATATTTATCCATTCACCTGTCAATGGGCATTTGGGTTTTTCCCAGTTTGGGGCTATTGTGAATATAGCTGCTATGAACATGTCTGTACAGGCTTTGTTTGAACATAAGTTTTTTTTCTCTTGGGTAAATACCTTAGGCATAGAATGGTGTGGTATATCTTTAACTTTTGGAGAAACTGCCAAATAGGTTTCCAAAGTGATTGTGCCATTTTACATTCCCAACAGCAGTGTGTGAGTGTTGCAGTTACTCCACATCCTCATTCAGTGCTGGCAGTTCTTAGTTTTACCCATTCCAGTGAGTGTGGAGTGTGTGCACTGTGGTATGCACTCTCTCAGGACTACTGTTAAGTATCTTTCCATGTGTTTATTGACTACTCATATATCTGATGTGGTGAAGTATTCAAAGTCCTTTGCCCATTTAAAAAATTAAGTGGTTAGTTTTTTTCTTATTGGATTATGAGTCTTTTATATATTATGGATACAAAGTTCTTTGTCACATATTATTGCGATATAGTAGCCATTTTAAAACAATGTTTTGCGATCCAATCAAAAAATAGGCAGAGGACCTGAACAGACACTTCTCCCTAGAGGACATACAAATGGCCAAAAAATATATGAAAAGATGCTCAACATTGCTAGTTATTAGGGAAATGCAAATCAAAACCACAATGAGATACCATCTCATACCTGTTAGAATAGCTAACAGAATTCCTTGACAATAGGACAAGTAATAACAAATGTTGGAGAGGATATGGAGAAAAAGGAACCCTCATACACTGCTGATGGGACTGCAGGTTGGTACAGCCACTATGGAAAACAGTATGGAGGTTCCTCAAAAAACTAAGAATTGATCTACCATGTGATCCAGCAATCCCTCTACTGGGTATTTATCCCGAAGACTTAAAAAATCATATCCATAAAGATACTAGTACACCAATGTTCATAGCAGCATTATTCACAGTGGCCAGGACATGGAAGCAACCGAAGTGTCCTACAATAGAGGATGGGCTAAAGAAGCTGTGGTATATATATACAATGGAATGTTACTCAGCCATAAGAAGAGATGAAATACTGCCATTTGCGATAACATAGATGGACCTCAAGAATCACGCTGAGTGAAATAAGCCAGATAGAAAAGTTGAAAAATCACGATATCACTTATATGTGGGATATAAACCCAAAAGCAACAAATGAACAGGACAAACAGACTCATGGACATGGACGATCGACCAGTGGTTACCAGAGGGAGGGGAGGTGGTGGGGGGAGGTGGGAGGTAGACGGGTAAAAGGGGTCAAATATAAGGAGGTAAGAGGAGGGTGAAGTGGATAAAGGGGGTTCAAATATATGGTAGCTGAAGGAACCGACTTTGGGTGGTAAACGCAATAGACCGGGTAGCTGAAGGAAACGACTTTGGGTGGTAAACACGCAATAGACTATGTTGATGTCAAATGATAATGTACACCTGAAAATTATATAATATTAACCAATGTTACCCCAATAAAGTTAAAAAAATAAAAATAAAACAATGTTTTATAACTATAACATTAGTTATTTAAAAATCAGTTTGAGGTACCACAGAGCACTTGAAAGAGCAAACTGCTAAAGCTAGAAATCTGTCTAGCTAGGCGGTATACTCTGTGCGCGCCCAGCGCCCTGCAGGGGGCTCACAGCATAAAATCTTATTTACTCTTAAAAGTCAACAGAGATAATGAAGTGTAAAATAACTAACTAAATAAAACAAAAAAAGCCTCCCCGCCTGCAAAGGATCTTTGCTGATGATAGTGCACGGTCAGGGCTCCTTTGGGCCATTTTTTGTTATTGGGCAGGTAGCTCTGAAAGTTTTCAAAAGTCATTCCGTTTAACTATCAAATAACATCCTTAGGATAATTATAATAATTATGTAAACTGGATATAAAATTTAAACTGAAATAATACAATGGTAGAATGCTGGGCTTTTCTGTTTGGCTGTGAACCTGAGTCATGGGCAGCGAAATAGCCAGGACCAAAAGGCAAGTAAGGCTGAAGGCCCCAGTGGCACTGCCGCGGGTTCCCGGCACGCCGCCTCTGGGCTGCGCATGCGCCTCGCGGCCCGCCGGTCTCCGCTCATCCGGAAGTGGGACGGCGTCGCCGTGGTAACCGCAGTAAACTGAGATCTTGGACAGATGCTGGGACTACAAACGCCCGGCAGCGATCGGTGCCTTAGGTAAGTTTGGACCCCGGCAGCTGGGCAGTTCCTAGAACCTCCCCCTTCAATCTGTTAGCGAGTCAGGGAGCAGTGAACCCCGCTTGGACTTCTCTTAGGCTGAACCAATATCCCTTAGGCTTTGCTAAGACATATATTTTAGTCCTTTGGATCAATTCAACAAACATGTGGAGTGACCATTTGCAGGCGAGGAGCTAGACACTATGGATACAAAGTGGACGTAGTTCCTGCCTGCAAGGAGCTCATAATCCGGCGGGGACAGGCATTAGGAGTAGGCGTTTAACCGTATTAAGCCAGAAGCAGGGAGTCTGATGGGAAAGTGCCTGGCTTTCAGAGTCAAGAAAGCCACCTCCCCTCTGCCCCTGCCCCACTTAGCTGTGTTTCACTTGGCAAGTTGCCCTCTGCACTTCAGTTTCCTCATCTCTAAAAAGGAAGATGGTAATGCTTATTACAATTAAATAGGATAGAACAGGTAAAGTGTGAACACATGGGTGACACATAGTAGGTGCACTATAAATACTTGTTACATACAAGTAGATATAGTAGCGTACAAGTATTCAGTGTATCCAGTCAATTGTGAGTTGTCCTGGGTGGCTACTGACTAAAACTTTTGAGAAGAAGGGGCTGAGGAGAAATTAGGGAGGGGGAAAGTGACCGGAGATGAGGTACAGACTTTAACATGAAGGACCTTTGTGCCATGCCAAGAAATCCTGAGTTCTTATTCTATGGCAATGAGGAGCCATTAAAGGCTTTTAAAAAGAAGAGCAGCACATTAAAAGCTGTGTTTTAGAAATACAAGAGGCAGTGTAGAGAATGGGTTAGAGAAGGGAAAGACAAAACATGAGGCTATGGTTTGGTAGAACTGAGACAATGAAGACCATAACTAGGGAGGTGACAGTGGGAATAGAAGGAAGGGGATGAATGCAAAAGGCTTAGTTAATAACTGTGCACATGGCAACAAGACTTCCAAACCCATTGTATGCACTAGGTGAGAGGGAAGAATTCAAAGAGTGACTGCTCTGCTTCCTCATCTTAAATTGTACCTAACTCGCAGAGTTGTTTTGAGAAATATATGAAACGGTATGCATAGAATCTTTAGAACTGTGCTTTGCAAATGGATAACATTCAGAGAACATGAGCTATTATTATTCTCTCCACAGTTGTATTTCACATTGTAAAGTAAAAGCTGAGTGTTTTTATGCAACGATCTCGGTGAGTCTTAACATGATCAGCTCTGGCCCACTGCTGAGGTGGAGTGTTTAAGTTTGTAAGAGTGAGGACTGACCCTGAATTCTAGTGAATGAATATGAGTTATGTCACCTCGGGAGCTTTTTGTCTGGCTTCCAGATAACCTTCTGCATCACTGCACTATAATTTTTCTTTTTACACTTCCTAGGATTGACTCAAAACATGACAGTCTGCTAAGTTAACTACTTAATGAGTTAGTTAACAGAATTAGCCAAAGGCTGGACTAATGAGCCTGAATCTAGTGTAAGTAGGTTTAAGATAGTTCTGCAAATAGACTCCTAAACCTGGCTAGTTCAGTTGTTTAGGACATGACTAAGAACACACAAATAAGGCTCAATCTTTCTAGTTGGTCACAAACTAATTATGATGAGTCAGTATATGATGAGTCAGTATATGATGAGCCTGCCCCAACCCCACCTCCCAAGATAATGTATTATCAGGTTGCCTTAAAGGAGTTCAACGTCCCCAACAGGAAAAGTGATAGTTTGTCTCTTCTGTAAAGTGTACAGATCCTTCAAAGAAAATACAAAATTGGGAGGCACATAGGATGCATTAGGATTTAATTTCTAGAGCTATCAGGATGCTGAAAAGAGTTGAAGCCATGTTAGTGAGGAATAAGTGAAAAAACTGGGATGCTTTAGTTAGGAAAAGAAAGGATTTTGGGAGAAAAGTGAACTGGCCATAATTATTTGAATGGCAATAGTACACAGAAAAACTTGTTCTATGTGTCCCCGGAAGAACGGGGGCCAAATGGATTCAAGTTGCAGGGACGAAGACTTTAGTGTAATATAAAATGAACTTAGTAAGAACTAGAGCTGAGCATTAACAGAATTTGCTCGCCCTCTTACCTGAAATGTTGAAATTGAAACTGATCATCTCTTGAAACGTTCCTTCATTTGTTCATTTATTCAGGAAGTAAAACATTCATCCTTTCAACCATCTTACATACTGAGTGCCTATGTGCCAGGCACTGTTCTTTAAGCTTTATTGACTGCATTAACTCACTGAGATCTGAGAACAACCTTATGAAGTAGGTACTGTGCTTTATGGATGAGAAAACCGAGGCACAGAGAGGTTAAATACTTAATGACTCTCAGCAATTAAGAGAGCCTGGCATTAAATCCAGCGAGTCTGACTCTAGCCAGTACTCTCAGCCTGATCAACACATCAAACTGCTTTTCCAGTGGTGCTGGGTTCAATGTTATAGATATGTGACTTATATTGGGTAGGAGGTTGGACTAGATGAGATCTCTTAACTCTGAAGATTCCATGATCATATATATTGGGCTCTAGCTGTATAAAAGAGAATATGAAGTAATTATAGTAAAAACAACTACTAGTTTAGAGTACCTATAAGGTGCTTTATAAAAACCCATGATCCTCAACCCTGGTTCTTATCCTCAGCGGCACAAAAGAACTGCACAGAGAGCAGACCCTGAAAATGGTATGTTGTAAAAAGTTTTCCAACTGATTTTTCTAAAGGTGCAGCCAGAATTGAGAGCTATAGATGTAAAAGATCTCATTTAATACTTACAATAACTGCCAGATAACCTTATCATCCCCATTTTACATATAAAAGGAGGCCTAACTGGAATGTGAACCCAGTCCCTCGGGCTCCAGAGCCTCATCAGTTTTCAAAACAATTTCTCAGTCCCTTCATTCTGAAAAACAAAAACAAAACAAACAAAAACCACCTCCTTCCATCTCACCAATCATACTGATAATCTCCAGGAGACCAAGCGCCCTGATCTGCTGAACTGCTTTTACAAATTCTTCAGTCATCTTAATGATTCAGAAAAGCTAAGAAAGGATCTCAGTATTTTTCACTAGCTCAGATTCCTTGGGTTCCAGTATTTTCTGTATACACTGTATACAACCTGACATTAACTGCGTTTGTGATATTAAAGCTTTCGCATGATGGTATTAGACACGCGAGGAATATATTGCTTATGATAGCACAGAATAAAGTGTGGTGCTTTTGTCTTGATATCAATTTACCTTTTGTTGTGGTTCAATTCCTTTGTTTATAGAGTGATTCAGTTACTATAATTGTTTCTTACCCACCTTATGATCAACTTATGAGTAAATTTATTAGGTCTTACAGGCTTTATATTAGACTATATATCCAGTTATCATTCAGTTATAGTATATTAAAAATAAATATATTTAGAAAAGAGAAGACTAAAAGGCAAAAAATTATCTCATGAAGCTTTTATTGGTAAGAAGCAGGAAAGAAAAGGAGATTTAAATCAGTGAGATGTGCTTGACCTATAATTGCTGGCTTTGAGGGCCAAAAACCAGGGAACACAGGAGGCCTCTGGAAGCTTTAGAGCAACTCCTGGCCTACAGCCAGCAAGAAAACAGGGACTTCAGTCCTACGACCACATGGAACTGGATTCTGCCAGCAACCTAACGAGCCTGGAAATAGAGTCTTCCCAGTCTTCAGTAGTGAGCCTGGAAATAGAGTCTTCCCAGAGTCTTCAGAAATGAAGGTAGCTCTGCCAACACTTTGATTTTGATCTTGTGAGGCTGTAAGCAGAGAACCAGCTGAGTCACAACTGTACCTGGACTTCTGATCTATAGAACTGTGAGATAATAAATGGGCGTTATTTTAAGGTGCTAAATTTGTGTGACAGCAATAGAAAACTAAAACGGTGCCTGTTTATAGATTAAAGTGTTATTGAAACTTGAAGACAAAAAGGGTTTTATTTAATTCTTCACAATATCAATTCAGTTTGGTTGATGAATCTGAGTGACTGTCTTGCCTCTACTTATTTGGGACCTGCACCGTGGCAACTTAGAGAGTAGTTTAGTTTCCTGCCAATAAATGTTGATTTTCATCAAGGAAATCTTTATCCATAGTTATTAATTCAGTCCTGACTATCAGACCATCCTAATTCTATTTAACCACAGATGGATTTGAATCAGTGATTGAGAAGAGAAGTTTAATAGAAGACTATATTAATCGATAACTGTCAATTTCTTCTTAGATTGTAAACTTTTTAAGTCAGGGCCTCTGCATTGCTCATTTTTGTATCCTCTCAGTGTCTAGCGTGATACCATCTGTATATAAATACGCTCAAAGTTTTGAAAATTGAACTGATTTAAATTATGAAAAACCTTGAAAGCAAGGAAGAAAATGGCACTTAGTATGTTTGTAGCTATCTGAACAAGTTTACCCACAGTACGTGATGATCTGCAACCAAGCTGCAATAACTGACATTGCCTTGAAATGCCCATTATTTAAAAAATGTTATTATAATTAATTATTTAATTGTTTTTTAAATCAGCAACTTGTATAAACATAGAAAGTTAGACTGTATATCCAAACTGGAAGAAATAGGAAATGTACTAGGTGATAGAATTTAGATTTTAAAAGATCTTGCTACTTTCCCCAAACCCAGCAGGCATCGGGTGAGAGGAAGGAAGGAAGGAAAGAAAGAAGGAAGGGAGGAAGGAAAGAACAACAACTAAAAAAAGAAAAAAACACCACTCTCACACACACAGACACACCCACTTTTTAAAAGGTAAAATGTCATCTTGGTAATCCAGAAAAAATAGCTCCAAAGTACTAAACACAAAACTTAATAACATCAGATCATCTTAGGACATAGTTTTCTTCATAATAGCTTACAGGAAGAACATTTGGACAATGTACTGTTGTTCCCTAAGTCAAGAGAGGGCATAATTATGATGCTGCTGTAAGAGAACAGCTGGGAGAACCCTAGTGTCCCTATGAAGGGAGGTAGCAGTCACACGGCACTCTCCACCAGTGACGTCATATCTGCTTTTGGCATACTAGTCTTTCTTCAGAAAACTAATAATGCACTAGTTCAATTAATTCTTATAGCAGCCCTATAAGTAGTTTTTCCTTTATTTCCATTTTACAGTTGAGGAATTGATGTAACGCTTAATTAGTTACTTATGTGGCAAAACTGGGATTCATACCTGAATCCAACTACAGATATGATCCAAGTTGAACTGTTCTATCCAGCCATGTCATAGAAGCATGTTGAGGAAACATGGGCTGTTTAATGTAGAAAAGTGAAGGACTTAGGAGGAAGAAACAGTTCGTGGTTTTTTTTAAAATTAATTAATTATTTTTTTATGGTGACATTAGTAAACAAAATCCAATGTTTCAGCTGTACACTTTAACAGTAAGGTATATGTTTGTTTACACTGTGTGTTCACCTCCCACAGTTAGATTTCTTTCTGTCATGACATATTTGATCCCCTTTACCCCATCTACCTCCCCTCTCCCCCCACCCCCTACCCTCTGGTAACCACTAGTCTATAGTCCACATCTATGAGTCTCTGTTTGTTTGTACTGTTCATTTGTTGCTTTTAGGTTTATATCCCACATATAAGTGATATCATGTGATTTTCAACTTTTTCTGTCTGGCTTATTTCATTAGTATGATTATCTCAAGGTCCATCCATGTTGTCATAAATGGCAGTATTTCATCTCTTCTTATGGCTGAGTAATACTCCATTGTATATATGTACCACAGCTTCTTTAGCCAATCATCTATTGTAGGACACTTCGGTTGCTTCTATGTCCTGTCTACCATGAATAATGCTATTATGACATTGGTGTGCAAATATCTTTTTGGATATGAGTTTTCAAGTCTTTGGGGTAAATACCCAGTAACCACAGGACATTTTAAATTTTTGAGGGAAACACTGATGCTTAATATCTGTCAGACACTAGTGAACTACTAGCTTGAGGCAGTTCACAGATTCAACATTAGATTGAGATACATTCCTTTTGATGACGTCATATCTTCACAAAGCTGACTTTTTGGTAGTTGCTACGCCAAAAAACAATACTGCATAAAAATTATTGTGGAATAGGATATAAGAATGATGGTGTCCAATATGATTCCAAGCTTTAAAAAGTTGTACAATGCCCAATAGGTATACATATTCCATTAATACATATTCCATTAGTAAATAATTGTGATTTTCAAGTCTTTGGGGTAAATACCCAGTAAGGGATTTGCTGGATCATATGGTATATCAATTCTTAGTTTTTCAAGTAGGTGTTTTTAAATCCAGGAACAGCTGCAATAGAGAGGATGGAGGACACCTGTGGTGTCACTCCACTCCTTAAAACCCTCCAATGGCTTTCAATTACCATAGGAATAAGTTCTAAATTCCTTAGCAAAGGGAGACAATTTTATGATCTGCTACCTTCCTCCTCTTCAAAGTCAGTAGACTGCTTTCATAGACACAACCCTCTCTCTGAAGTTCCCTTTGCCTAACATACTCCTCCCATTCTATGCCCTACCAACTCCTACTCATCACCTGTGTCTCAAACACCTCTCCTTGAAACCCAGGCATAGTTTATCTTCTTGATATACAGGCCCACGGCACCGTTTTCTTTCCTTTTTGTAGCACTCATTATATTTAATTGCTTATTTAATATCCGTCTTTCTAAACAACAAGCTCCACAAAGTTAGGGGTCACAGCTCTCTAATCCAATACTGTAATTCAGTGCCTAATGTAGGACTTGAATCATGGTAGGTGCCCTCAATAAGTATTTTTAAATTGAAATTGGTTAGTAACACTAGGGTAATTTGATGATGAGAAGAGGAAGAGGAGAGGATTAGCCAAAGGAAGGATGGTGGGGAGGGGGGTTTATTTTAATGGTGGAGCATTTAGGGAAAAGATGACTTGGGTGGTATTTCACTGCAGACCTCTGAAAAACCAGAGGGCACCACGACAACAAGTTTGCCTGGAGAAAGGGAGTGTCTGCCTAGATTTTGCTGTTCTGCCGAGGTCTCTGATGGTGGACCCTCCTGCTGGTGAAGTCATCTCAGATACTGTGCAAGCATATGATTACTTATACACATGGTGTTTGGTGCTTGTGGACTCTGTTAGGCGATAAAAATCTGTTAGTGATTTCTGTTTTACAGCTTTATCCCTTTCTCTGTCTCAATTTTGCTCTGAGACAAAATGAAGGAACCAGATGATCAGGATACCGATAGAAGGGAATCGGACAGATCAAGGAGTAGTAGAAGGCAGTCTCTGAAGTCCTCGCAGTCTGCACCAAGAGGTAAGTAAAGATTATACTGTGTGCTTAGGTTTTTTATTATTAAATTTAGGTGAAATTAGTTTTAAAGAGCACATATCTAAGTTTACATGGCAGAAGTGGTTTACTTCTATAACTCCCTTACACAACTTTAAGTTTTTGAAGAACAGAGTCTGTGCTTTAATCATTTTATCTCCAACCTCTGCCACACAGACAACTCTGTGTTGATAATTACCTACCTGCATATCTGGTCTTATTCTCTCTTATGTGGTCTACAAAGTCTTTAATGGACTTTTCTTATACAGTGCAGTGGGAAGAGAGCTGGACTTTGGTTTTGAGTCCTGGGTCTACCACTTAGAGATGCTTGATCTTGGATAGAATATAGAGGCTCTATTTTCTCACTCATTAAAATATTAATTGTGAGCTTTTTGAGGATTAAATTGGATAACATGTGGAAGAATAATATAGGCTGCAAATAGAAGGAAAAGAGAAGAATTTTGTCCTAGGATTTTAAAAAAGTGGCTCACTCTTACCGATTGGGAATCATGGCGTTAGGTATCTTAGTAGAATCGTGACATTTTTTCCCTCCTTTTTAATTCCCTTTCCCCCTACTTACACCCCTGACCTACGGATGTTGCTGTCTCTCCTTAAGAACTGGATCTCTGAAGGTGGAGTGTCTCCTCCCATGTGCTCAAGGTGTGTCCCCGGAGCTTGGTGCCCCAGGACCTGGGACCCCCAAGGCCTGGCACCCCCGGTGCACTTGGGGGGCATGGGGCTGGTACACCCAGCGTATGGTCCGTGGCTCCACCTGAGGCGTGAACCCAGGACCTTCTGTGTGTAAAGCAGACGTACTAACCACTACACTATGGGGCCACCCAAATCTTGACTTTTTTAGTTCTAATCCTGCATGTAGTTCAGAAATTTAAGTCTGACTATTCATCTAGAGAAGATAAGATCCTGGGTAAATCAATTCATTCACAAAATTTACATTAAATTCTTTTAATCTAAGACATGTCTCGTAAATTCATGATTACTCCATACCAAGTTTTATTTTAGATGTTTATCTCCTCTTGCTTGGACTCTTACAACAAGGATTTCCACTCAGGCCTTCCCGATCAAGTCTCCCTCCATGCCACCCCTAGAGTTATCTTTCCAAAATATATGATTATATCATTCTCCTCAAAAACTTTAGTGCGCTTTTCTGTTGTTTTTCCATTTCCATTTTTCTCCACTTTCTACATCAAATTGTCTACTTTTCGGTTTACGGTCCTTTGTAGCATTTTCCTGGATGGATGGGTAGAATGATAATGATCCTTTGTCTAGCCTTGCCTCAACATCTTTCTTTCTTGTGTCAGCTCTCTTGGGGGCAGGCCTTATCAAGTGCAGCCTAGCCCTGTGCTCAGCTCATAAATTAGTTCACACATCATGAGTTTTAGGATCACAAATGAAAAATGTGAAGTAATTTGCTGGCACTCTGAAATCCTCTACCTTGGTGCTGTGAAAAGAGGTCTCTGTCCTGGTTCAGCCACATACCTGGTAGCTGCTTTTTCTTTTTTTCTCTTTTTCTGGATACCTTGCCTTGTTCTCAGTTTTGGTAAAATACCTGAGCAACTTCTTCTTAGCCTTTAGGATTCATGGAGAGTGAATCTACCTCCTGGTTTTCCACCTAAGCTGTGAGATTAAAGTGGACTCTTGCCTTACTCAACAAAGAGTTTCTGTTATAACTGAATCCTATTAAGAAATTCTGGACAAATGTACTAGTTAAATCATCTAGCATTTCTGCTAATTCTTATCAAAGGACTAAATTATTGCTGACCTCATATCATTAATTGGGAAGTATTTTAGTTTCTCCTATTTTCGGAAAGATTTTGTGTAGAATTGGTATTATTTCTTCCTTAAATATTTGGTAGGATTCACCGGTGAAGTATCTGAGCCTATCATTTTCTTACTGGAAAAAAGTTTAACTATGAATTCAATTTTTTTAATAAATAGAGGGTTGTCTATTTCTTTTTTGGTAAGTTTGGTAAGTTTGTCTCTTTCATAGAATTTGTACATTTATTCTAAAAATTTGTTGGTATAACTGTAGGATTTGTTTTTATTTCTGATATTGAAGATTTGTATTGTCCCTCTTTTATTTCTTGATTGCTCTAGCTAGGAGTTTATCCATCTTGTTGTTCTTTTCATAGAATAAGATTTTGGCTTTGCTAATTTTCTCTATTGTTTGTTCGCTTTTTATTTCACTGATTTGTGCCCTCTTTTAAAAATTATTTCTATTATTATTTTGCTTTTCTTTTTCTAGTTTCTTAAGGTAGAACTTTAAGTCATTAATTTTGGACTTTTCTTCTTTTCTTATATGTATAGTAAAAGCTATAAATTTCTCTTAAGTTTTCCCTTAGCTGTATCCCACACATTTTGATATGTTTTATTTTAATTATTATTTAGTTTGAAGTATTTTCTAATTTCTTGGTTGATTTTTCTTTGACCCATATATTATTTTAGGTGTGTCATTTAATTTCTGAATATTTGTAGGTTTTCTAGATATTTTATTATAATTTATTTTTAATATACTTCTGTTGTGATCAAAGAATACACATATTCTGTATTATTTCAATTCTTTTCAATTTATTGAAACTTATCATATGTTCCAGCAAGTGATCTACCTTGGTGAATGGCCCATGTGTATGTGAATGTGTACCTTATATTGGTAGGTGTAGTGTTTTATAAATATCAGGTTGTCATGTTTTATAGTGTTGTTCAGAACATCTGTGTCTTTACTGAGTTATTGACTAATTGTTCTATTGAATGATAAAAGACATGTATTATTATAATATTAACTAAATAAACTGTGAAAAGTTAAGGATATATATTATAATCCCTGAAGCAACTATATATTAATAAATGTTGGTAAAACTGAATGGAAGAAATGATAGCAGCATACTAATCGATCTTTTTTTCTTTATCTTTTACTTTCTTGTAAAGTATACAGTGATAGGAAATAGAGTGGAAATAAAGTGAAAATGGAGATTAATCACGTAGGAAAAACTTTTTTTTTGTAAAGTTATGAGTGACCAAATAAAATGAGTTTTCTAGGACATTTTGAGTATTGAAATTAAATTTAGAGCACAAATAAATTGAAAGTAGTAGCTACTTTGGAAATAAGAAAATGCTTAATTCAAAATTTAGAAATTATTAAAACAAATAATTTTAATAGCCTCTATAAAAGAAGATGACAGAATCTTAGAAGATACCACAAATGAAACATTTTCCGAAGAGGAAGAATCGTATGTAGAGGAGGATGACTCATATGTGGAACATTTGGAAAGAAGTTCAAGTTCAATTCAAGATGATTATGTGGAAAGCACTGGAAGTAAGTATTATTAGTTTTCTACCAGCAATTGTCACTGTTTTAAAAATAAATTGCCCAAATTGAACGGCTGTTCCAAAGAAAGACAAATCTGCAGAATGTGTGGAGGTGGTAAAAGGGAAAGCATAGAATATATTCTGTACAGCAGTTTAGGAGCTCTGGAGTTGTATTCTCCATTTCTGAGGCTCACAAACAGAACTCTCGTGTTCTGTTTTCTGGAGAGTGGGATGGTCTCAGAAGTGCTCTGCCCCAGATTAGTGAAAATAACTCTCCTTTGGAACTGAGTAGGAGTTGCCCTTTGAGACTGCTGAAACCATGACCCAAGCTCAGCATTCACGCCGATGAACACAAGTATGTTGGCTCTTCCTCCTGTGCTTACTGGCGGGTGGCAGCCTATGTTCGGGGCCAGTAGTGGTACATACTGCTAGGGTATTTCGGGCTGGGTACATTCCTTTTGTCTTTGTGAAATACAACTTTAAGATTCATTAGACACTCTTCTTAGTTAAAATATTTTAACTTTTTAGAATCTCAGTATATGGAAACCCCTCATTCAGCTGAAGAAGAGGCAGAAAAGGAAGTTAAGAAGAAAATATCACAGAGCTTCTTCTATGATTATAAGGAGCTGGTTTCGATGCCCTTTGTGACTCCAGATTCGAACATACCGTTGGATCTTCTCACACTGGTGTATCCACTCCAGTTACAGATGTATAATTTTGGGATTACAGCTTCTTAGGTCAGGGGTTGGCAAACTATAGTCTGTGGACCAAATCTGGCCTCTTGCCTGTTTTCCTAAATAAAGTTTTATTGGAACACAGTCACGCTTATTTATTTACATGGCTGCCATCACACAACAAGGGCAGAATTAGTTACAATAGAGCTCATCTGTTCCACAAAACCAACAGTATTTACTACTGGGCCCCTTGTAGAAAAGGTTTGCCAAACCCTGCCTCAGGTAATACTAAGAAACTTGGCCCTTAGAGAAGGTGAGATAGAAATGCATGATCTTAATTTAAACTAAACTTTTGTTTGATATCAAGTAAACATAAAGAGAAATTATGTTTTATCTCCATTTACTTCCTCTACCAGCCTGGCATCCCTTTTTTCATGCCTATCAAGTTAAAATCATTAATTTCCCTTCTCGAAATACTATGTAGCCATTTTCAGGCATTAGTACATTCACATTATTTATCAGATGAGTTATTCAAGAAGACATCCCCGAGGAAGTGGAGCACAAAAACAGGCTATAATTGGTCTGGAGCATAAGTGTCTGTGAAGAAATGTAAGGGTGGGGATGATTGACAAGGGGGTTTAATGTTCACCATTGCTTTATAGTGTTAGGTTTCTAAGGCATAGATAGTTAGGAGACAATTTTCATTAAGGCCCTTGGCTAGCAATTTAGTATACCTGATTTCAGATGGGCAGTGGTCACGACCACATTGCCTAGCCCTCACCACTGACTGGCCTCTTATGAAAGGTGTGCTTACAGAGGTAGGAAGGTGTACTTCCTGACTCAATTTTGCTTTTTTAGATAGAAATAGAACATGTTGTTTTATAGCTTCTAACTCTGTTTCAATCCTTGGTGTAACTAAAACCAATTCACCCTGATTCTTGTGACTCGGAGTTCTCTTTCTTGGGGGCATTTTTTTTTTTTCCTTTGAACAAGTTATTGACAAAAGTTATGCTTTTAGTTTTCTTCTAGTCTATTTTTTTCAAATAGAGTGGTATGTCAGAGTTACCAGAAGCTTTTCCTGAAATACACATGCCCTGATACCTTGCCGGACCTATTTTCATGTGCAGAGGGGCTTGGGCTTACGTACTTTGACAAGGCTTCCCCATGTGATTTTTTTCTTAAGAAATTTAAAATGCTAACTAAATCATAGTATGAGGGTTTTACACCTAATTTAAGAATAAAATTGCACTGCTAATACATAAAAAATTCTGAGTTTCAGAGTAAAATTTAATTGCTTCAACCTTGAATCTTTACCCGAGTATGGATTTTAAAAATATGTTTATTTCATGTTACTTTTTCTGTTTCTAGGATGGTTATGTTGTTCCACTTTGTTTCCTTAGCAATTTTTTTGCAGACATTCTTTTGGTTATGACTGTAGAAGGCGGGCCAACCTACAACTTCTGGACAGCAATACAGTGGCGTACATAGCTGGGAACCAGCTGATCCTTCTGAATTTGAAAACTAAGGAACAGTTCTACCTGCGAAGTAGCAGTGGTAGAGGAATTGGTGTTATTGGGGTATGTCTTTAGTCACTTAGAATAAAATCTATCTATTTTTGATTGTTCTGTGGACCAGCCAGGTAGGTATCAATCCCATGCATGGTATCGTGGGATCACATGAGATGCATGGCAATCTTTATTCTAAGGCACTCTCAGTTCAGTGGTTACAAACACAATATTCACTGACATTATCTCTGTGCAATATTACAATATTATATTCGTAATATTATCATCCCGTTTTGCAGATAAAGACACTGGGACTTATGGAAGTTAGACATGCAGGCTTTTTACATTGAATGCTGTTTGCTATTTTGCAAAAATAGTGATATGAATAACACAAGTGATAATTCAAATAATAATTAGAGGTAAATGCCAAATAAAATGTAAGTATATAATTGAACATTTGAAGATGAAGTATAGATGTATATTCAATAGTTTCGAACGTATGACAAAAGGGCTGTGTGTAATTTGGAGCCTGTCTTTTCTTCCTGCTCAGCTGTCTGTCTCCATCGGTCATCCTCTTTCTTATATCTTCAGCCTCTACTTCCTTAGGCTTTCCATCCTCAGCATAAAAGCATTGTGAATCAATTTGTTCTCATTTTAAAAGCCCCCTCTCTTACCATGCATTCTCTTTATCCACTGAATTTTGATCTTTTATTCAAAGCCAAGCTTCTGCTGTCTTGTTTCCATTACTTCACTAAAATTGTCTTTACTGAGGCAACCAATAGACCTCTGGTGGCCAGATCTGAAGAATATCTTTTTAACTGACCTCTCCATCACAGTTGGCCTGTGATTATATTTTACCTGACCTCTCCATCACAGTTGGCCTGTGATTGAGCTTTTTCCTTTGGCTGTTTTTCTACTCTGTGCTCTTTAAAAGTAGGTGTCCCCTAGATCTACTGTCACCAGTAACAAACAGCCTGAGGGGTTACTTCTAGGTGTCTGTGGTGTCTTGAGAGGGGCATCTGTTCAGATTATGATTTGTGGGGTGATGTGGGGAAGGAGGATGTGGGCTCCCACAAGCAGCAGTTCTATATGAGACACTAAAGAGGGTTTCTAGAAGAGACATGATCTGTCAAGGGTGAGCAGATCAGACAGAACTAGAAGGTACAGGGCCCACTTCAGAACACCCTGCTGGGGCAGAGGGCTTCCAGCAGAAATGCTGATGTGTCTCCATCAGAGAGACTGGGCCAAGTTATCAGGGAGTAGTAAGACATACTTTTGATTAGATAACCTGGAACCTGATAGGACACTTAGATTAAAAGTGAAAGTGAATGAGGAGGTTTTGAGGATTCTTGATCTGAGGAGTGAAGCAAGAACAGGGCAATAGGAATGAAGGTGAGGAAAACCTGAAGCTCACAGATAGATCTTATTGGCTATGGAAATAGGAAGAGCAAAAGATATTCTCATGTTTGTTCCTTACTTGATTATTAGTCTATATATAGCATGTGTACAAGATAAGTTTCTGTCCTCAAAGAGTTTGTTTTAAGACCATTTAATGAATTCAGCAAGAATTTATTATATAAAACTCAGTGTCCAACACTACTCAGAACATGTAGGGATTTAAATGAAGAAGGGTTCATGACCTCTGTGAATTCAGAGAGTTTAAAATCCATCTAAAGAGACCAAAACAGCATTAAAAAAAACCCCCCAAAACTAGTTGTATACAAATACATAATACTGTGGTACTAGCTTTGTGCAAATAAATATTCATGGCCCCAGTGTGATGGTCTTGTGCTCTGTGGAGGGAAGTCAGTCAGAGGCCATCTTGAGGTGTCGTGAGCCCTGAGGTCGACACCATCTTTAGAGAACTGAGCAACATCTAGCTATCACTTATTTTTCTATCACTTCATGGCCAATAATAGTTTCAAAATTTCTATTTTTCTGTTTAGTTATACAAGAATTTCGCCTGAGGTCAGTGGTTAGAGGAATAGTGTGGTTGAGAGTGCTAGTTCTCATCCTCATCCACCTGGACTCTGAGCAGTTGTATGTCCTCAAGGCTTTTCTCCTTGTGTGCTGGACCTTTTCGGTACCTGGATAGTGACAGGGGCCTTTCCTCCATTGCCCATGTCACTTCATTTTTTTCTGAAACAGTTACCCATTTGTGGATGAGAAAGACTTCTGCACGGTTATGAAAAACCTGTGAGAAATGTGTTTTGGGGGCATATAAACTATCTTCCAGAAAAGATAGGGTGAATCTATATACTGAATATAGAGTAAATGACTTACAAATTCCAGGTCTCCACCCAAAATAAAGCAAAACACCAAAATACAACCCCACAGCAGCTTCCTATCTGAGAGGGCAGAAACTTTTTCACTTACTATAGATAAAACCTAGAAGGGTAAAAGATTTGCCTGAATCCCCATTCACATTTCTGTGATCACATATCCTACACAATATTCCTTTGTAAATGGAGATCTAGAAAGATATAGTCTTAACTGATTTCCCCCTAAGTCCTTGATATCTACTGTATGTTAGGTCCATTTGCTTCTTGGCCCTAACATCTGGCTTAAATCCTGTCTCCCACATTTACCAGCAGTAGAACTTCAAGCAAGTTACTTAACCTCTCTGTGCCTCAGTTTCTTCATTAATAAGATGGGAATGATAATGGTATACAAGCTTATAAGGTTGATGTGAAATTTAAGAGAATTAATTCATATAAAATTTAGATTAGTGTGTGGCACATAGTAAGCATTCAATAAGTGTTACCTTTTTTAAGTGTTATCATTATCTTATTGAGTGTCCATTCTATAAACCCAAGCCTTGTTTCAAGCTGAAGTGATAGGTTTTTACTTGAGTGGAAGAATAAGAGGCAATTTCCCAGTAGGAAGACAGCCTATCATAGGTCTTATTGCCACATGTATGGAGGGAAGAAAAAAGAGCTACATTATCTTGAGTGCCAGGACTTCCTGTGCAATCTATATCAGGGCCAAGCTTGTCCTTTTAGGTATGTAATCAGGAGATCCAAAACAGTAACTGAAAATAGAATTTTATAAGTACAGTATGTGTTTTAAGTAGCTTATTCTTATAATAGCTTATTTTTATTTTCATTTTTTGGTTACCCGTTTGGCTACCCTTCCTGCACATTACCAGTGAACAAAAATAACAGAAATAAACATACAATTCTATCCAATTTGTATGGCTGTCATTTGAAATGCTGATGTGACTAATTTGTCCAGGGAATATTTACTATATTTTCCTCTGTGTCTGGCTTGGAGATATTGTATCTTTCTCATTTCTAATAAGTTTACATTCATTTGTGGTAAGTTTGTCTGAGGCAAAATTTAAAAAATTGGGATGTAAAACTACTCTGGAAACATAAGTTTTTCTATAAAAAAATTTAGATTGATTTATATGCAGAGTAAACAATTCATCTAAATTCATGGTCCTCAGAGGGTGGTTTCCAGATTGCAGCATCAACATCCCCTGGGAACTTGTCAGAAATGTAAATGCAAATTCTCGGGCCTCAGCCGTGATATACTGAATCAGAAACCCCAGTGGTAGGGCTTCCAATCTGTGATTCTGGTGCATGCTAAAGATTGAGAATCACTATTCTAGCTCCTCTGATGGCAATTAAAATTTTTTTTGAGTTAGATATGACTATTAATGAGAGTAAAACTTAAAATGAGTGTTTTTCTAGTTTTCAGTTTAAATCATCATCAAATATTTCTAAGATGCCCATTTTTGAGTTTTCTATTGGAGTGGGTCCTAATAAACTAATTATAAAATAACAGTTGTTAAATACTATGTTAATAGGACTGTATGAAAATATTTGTTTTATTATTTTAGTGAGATTTTATTTTTCGTAGGTTCACCCTGATAAAACATACTTCACAGTAGCTGAAAAAGGAGTTTCCCCAAAGATTATCATCTATGAATATCCTTCTCTGAAGCCCTATAGAATCCTTCGAGGTGAGTCCAGTAGAATCTTTAAAATACACATGTGCAAGGTTAACAACATTCTGGGAAACATGTAGCATTATTGTATCAGTCAGGGTCCTCCAGAGAATCAACTGGTAGTAGATAGAACAGAGATTTATTTAAAGGAATCGGCTTATGCAATTGTTGGCGCTGGCAGATCTGAAGGTTGGAGGGCGAGCCTGTTAGATCTGCCCATTTCTGAGAGAGGGATGTTGAAGTCTCCAAATAGATTCATCGATTTCTTCTTGCAGTTTTTGTCTATCTGTTTTTGCCTCAAGTAGTTTGGTGCTCTGTTGTTAGGGGCATACATGTCGAGAATTATTATGTCTTTTTGGAGAACTGACCTCTTTATCATTATGTAGTGTCCATCATATCCCTGATAATTTTTTCTCCTTTGAAGTCTGATCTGTTTGAAACTAATATAGCTACTCCTACTTTCTTTTGATTGGTGTTAGTGTGGTATATTTTTCTCCATTTATTTACTTTTAATCTACATGGTCTTTATATTCAACATACAGTTTGGTCTTGTGGTTTGATCCGCTAAAACCCTGTCTTTTAATTGGTCCATTTAGACTACTGACATTCGAAGTGATTATTGATACAGTGGATTAATATTTACCATACTGTTACTATTTTATATTTGTTGTCTTTGTTCTTTGTTCCTATTTTTGTCTTCCACTCTTTTTCTGCCTTTTGTGAGCATTTTATATGATTCAATTTCTCTCTTTTCTTAGCATATGCTATACTTCTTTACCTTTCTTTCATGGCTGCCCTAGAGATTGTAATATATAACTAATCCAGGTCCACTTTCAAATAACTGTATACCACTGCAGTTAGTGCAAATACCTTATAATAACAAAATAATCATAATTCCTCTTTTCAGTCCCTTGTGTCATTGCTGTCATTTATTTCACTTATATACAATCTTACATTCATTTCTCTTATATATAAGCATGCATATAAGCAAATACGTTGTTGCTATTATTATTTTGAACAAATTGTTATCTGTTATATTAAAATTAAAAAATAAAAGTTTTTATTTTACTTTCACTTATTCCTTCTTTGATGCTCTTCCTTTCTTTGTGTAGATCTGAGTTTCTGGCCTCTAAGAACTTCTTTGAACATTTCTTGCAAGGCATGTCTACTGGAAACAAATTTCCTCTATGTTCGTCTAAGTTTTTATTTGTCACTTTTGAAGGATAATTTCACTGAGTACAGAATTCTAGGTTGGCATTTTTCTTGTCTCAATGGTTTAAATATTTCACTCCAGTCTCTTCTTTAAAAAAAAAAAAAGAAAAAAATTTTTTAATTGATTACAGTTGACATATATTTTTCAACTTATTTTTAAATTTTTATATTTTCTTTTTAAATTATAGTTGACATACACTATTATATTAATTTCAGGTGTACAACACAGTGATTAGACATTTATATAACTTATGAAGTGATCACCTGATAAATCCAGTACACATCTGACACTATACATAATTATTACGATACTACTGACTATATTCCCCATGCTGTACTCTACATCCCATGACTTTTGCAACTACCAATCTGTACCTTTTAATCCCCTCCCCCCTTCACCTGTTCCCCATCCCCTAATCTGAGTACCATCAAAATGCTCTCTGCATCTGTGAGCTTGTTTCTGTTGTTGGTTTGTTTATCCTTTT